GAAGAAAAATGAGATATGACCAGGTATGTTTAGTTTTCAGTGAGGAGATACATTGGTGTAGGTGAATTTAATATACATGTAAGGGAGATATTTTCAATGTATTGGTGGATGCAATTTTTTTAGGTTATGTTTGGTTTGAAGGAAAAAGTAGGGAGAGGTTTGTATAGGTTTCCCTACCTTTCCCTTCCTTCCCTACTTTTTCCTTCAACCCAAACACAGCTATAGGGTAATTCTACCCTACCGAGAGTTGGCAATCAAAAATTTACCCTCCATTAATCATGTTATTATTGTTAAAACAGCATTTTTTTCCAAAAGAAAAAAAAAACAAATCCGAGGGGTATAAACCGAAAAGCTCAACAGTTTGATAAAAAGTTCAGAAAAGTACGAACAAGCCTAATGTAGATTTCTGATTTCCACTGCAGAGCTATAAACATTCAAAATGTCAACAACCCACACTCTATACACCCACGCCGGCCCGTAAATTGACATCAATTCCTAGCTGGCACCTACCCCAGCAATATTTTGGGCCTACAAATTCTGACCCTGGGCTGAACTGTCTTTCTCCCTAAAAAGTTGTGTACTTGACATGTTAGCATGGGTGCAGAGTGAGAATAATTATAATCAATGATCTTTTAAATAGAAAGACAAACAAGGAATTGTGTAGGCTGCTTTTTTCCAAATAGCAAATTAAGCCTGAAAGGGATAGACCATATAAATATTTTCTTTTTTTTTTCTTGGTTACCATATAAATATAATCTGACGTATCCAAAATGTGTATTCAAAAGAAAAAAAAAAAAAAAAACTTTTCAAACTGAACTAGTTATTTTCTTAGAATTAATCATGATGATACGGCCTAATCTCCTTAGGGCCATTGAATAGTACAGCACCACACTAATAGTTTAATAGCCTCTCCCTCCCTTCCTCTCCCAAAGTCCGCATGGCAGCAGGGGAGGAATTGAATCCGCGGCTTTGCTCGAATAAAATAATTAACTACCAATTGAACCACCCTTCAGTTGGCTCAATCCCAGTGGCGATAACGGTCACATAGGACTCCCATGAAATAAGAATACGTCAGCAATTTAAATAAATTCCTAATGTTATGATGATTTTTATTTATTTATTTTTTATTTCAATAGCTGGTGTGTTGTTGTGTTTCAATGTTTCCATGATGGATCTCAAGTGGAAGTGGATAAAATGCCTACATAAGGGTGACATAAAGCTGTGCTTGATTTGAGGGAGAAACACATATAGCTTCAAAGTTGAGGAAACATTTTTAAGAGTTTTGTAGTCGATTCCCAATCTATTTAGGCTGTATCTGGTTCTATTTTTAATTGATGACATATAACGGATGAAAGGCATAAATACAATAATCTCTGTATTGCCAAAAAAAATACAAAAGTCAGTTGTATGGTCCTAGTTTTATCTAATAAGCTTATTATAAAATGAATAAATAATCCTAAAAAAAAGTGAAGAAAAAGAAGGAACAAGAGATGGAACCAATGGAATAGGCTTCGACCCATCTCCCTTCACCTACACCTAGTCCTCCACCCTTGAGAGGTATATATTTCCTCCCGACTCCAATCCTTCACTCTTCATTATCTCCATTCACTTTTTGCTTTTTCGCTTTTGCAGGTTGTCACAGACACAGAGACTGAGGTGGAGGGGAAGAAACTATGGCACGTAGGTTGGGTAAATCAGAAATTGGAAAGATGATGGTGGGAGTGAATGTGACCATCGCTCTGGGGCTTGCGGCAATATATTTTCAGCCTCATCCTGACTACCTCCATCATGTCATGCCTTTCATGGTTTGCACCCTGTCACTGGCTTTCTTGTTTAATATGCTGTCCTTCTTCCTCCAAGAGGACGAACCAATAGGGATTCGGATGGGGCAATTGGGAGCTGTCTTAACTCTCTTGGACATATTCGGTTTGATGGGTTCGATGTTACCCTTGCATCTTGTCTGGCTGCCTATTCTCTGCTTCCTTATCTTACTGGGCTTTGGCCTTGTAATACAATTTCAATTGATGGGTAGCACTAGCAACATCACTTCTGGGTTTCTCAAAAGGGCCGCAACCAACGATCCATCCAACCAAACTGCAGAGGGACCAGCACCTTGAACTCAAGTCTCACGGGGACGATTTCCTTTATATTGATTCCCATTTATTTGCTTCAACTCATTGAATAATTGTTTAACTGTTTTCGATTATTTGTGTTTTGTTTACTTGAGACATCATGTGGGCCCCACCTAATGGACCCGAGAGAGGGGTGTCTAACCTTTTTCCTCTCTCATCCGAGTCTTGCCCGGACTGATTCAGCTAGAGCCTCAGGTTTTGGAATCACTAATAAATCAAAATGTTTTCTAATGTAAATAAACTTTATTTCCATTACCAATGGGTGGCAACGCCAAATCTAACCCAAGTGAGTCATTTCCTAATGCTTTGGCACAAATATGGTTCAACCCATACCTACCCAAGTTAATTTATCTAATTGGTTCAAGAGGCTGGTTAAATATATCAAACATTGGATTAGTCCAACCAACCAATTTACAAACGTGTTCATCAGTTCATAAACTCAACTAGTTTGGTCCACTTGGTTTTTTAGATCCTAAGGAGTTCAGTTCGTCGGTTTAACTATGGTTGAAAACACACCTCTCACATCTACACACCATTATCTTATTTTGTATCCACTTTCTCTTTGAATTTAATGTTTTTCCTTTCAAGTAAAACCCAAAGATAAATTCAATGAACAGTCATGTTGTCTTTATGTACACTTGTTAAAAAATCAGGAATATAGACCATGTAAACTACTAGAAAGGATTACAACATATTTAACAAGAATGTGAGAGCACATTCATTTCCAGAACGCCTAACAAAAATGACTTGGGAATTTGAAAGGATTTTCTGGATGAAAGTAAGGGAGCAAGGTCATAGTTCCCTAAGAGGATGTCAATGATATGAAGGGAGTCTCCTTTAATATCGATCGCATTAAAGCCAAACTCCTTAGCAACAATTAAACTTTCAAAAAAAAATCAATGCCTAAATCAGCAGAGGTCCTCCTCACGCGGTAGCTTTTGATCTAGCTATTATAAACCTCCCCAGAGATTTTCCTATAATGATTCCAGAACCAATGCCATACAACCCAGATACCCCATCTATATTAACTCTCAAGAGATTTGGAGTTAGAGTGTACTAGCTAGGTAGATAGAAAAGCTAAATCTTGAAACTGGATGACAAGATGAGTAACATGTCTTGGGTAAGGAGTTAAGTCATAAACCTGGTGTTTGGCAAGTCTTTCTATGAAGATCTTCCAAAAGTTCAAGACCTCAAAAACTGATGATAGTTCAGTTCTTTTGCACAATAGTGTTAAAATTTGGTTGAAAGACCATATAATGAGTCATTATCTCAACCAACTACCATCATATATGGTATTTGGCCAAGAATTCTACTCTAACTAGGTAGTTGTTAGCAAGTAATCAATCGGATACATTAGGGATTCCAAATAAATCATCACACTGTAGGACAAACCTTATAAACTTTCCCAAGTCCTAATGCCACAAGATCTCTTCCCATATTCATCATAAGGCCTTCATATGGCCAAATAATAACGTCCTAGTGCAATTAGGGTGTGAGTGTCGAAAAAATGACTTACTCTGCCACTCGGGCCGGAAAGGAATTGCCACCCATCAATTATGGAAATGGAGGTGATGGGACATCCAAGATTTACATCAGAAAGTGTATTTGATTTATTAGTGATTCCATTGCCCAAGTCAGGGTAAGACTCGGATGGGAGAGGGAAGGGGTTAGACACCCCTCTCCCAGGTCCAATAGGTGGGGCTCACAAGGGATATCAAATAAGCATAAAAAAACAAATTATAATAATAAGAATAAGAATAAGAAACAAGAACAAACAAAAAGAATCTACCGTATCAAATTTATTATTATATTTTATATTTATTTTGTTATTATATTTCTTATTATCACATCCACTTTATTTGCAATGTTATTATTTTACTTTACGATTATTATTATTATTATTAAATCCTATTTAAGCAATTATTCATTAATTCCCCCCCAACCAATTCGAACTCATCCTATTCTCACCCTCCTTATCCCATCACTTTACCCCAAAAGAAAAACTAACTCTTCAAACTCACAAATCCGCTCAAAATATCTCGACTCACCACTATTTTATTTTTCTTTTCTTTTCTTTTCTTTTATTTTATGCCATTTTTGTTGCTGATTTCCTTTTATTTTTATATTTTTTTATTCTGGTTTTGTTGAGAGACTCCTGTGCTTTTTGTAATCGGTTTTCCTTCCCTTTCCTTTCTAATCCTCTCTCTAGGTTGCTGAATCTTCCCCAAACATAGCATCAGCTCTAGCCATCAAACTCCCTGCTTTGTTTGCCTAGCAATCTTGCATAAAACTCCCCAACTCTCTTTTCTACACCCCCCCCGTTTTCTATTTTTTATACATAAATAATATGTAATGTATTTTTCATATCATTTTCTCTCTCATATTCTGTGGCTAAGGGTAGGTTCCAATTAATTCTTTTAGTCTTCCGGTACCATGTAACATAGCAAACCCAGCATCTCCCAGCATGATTCAGACTAATCCGATTTGAAAACCCTCGTTCAACCCAATTGAAATAGCGAGAATAAAATGAGCTTAAACAATCCAACAGCCATCAAAATACGACAAAAAAATCCATGCTCCGATCGATCATGATAAACACAACTGATAATAGATAGCACAACTAGAACAAAAGAAGAGGAATGAAGCTCAACACCGGCATTAATAAAAAAATAAAAAAAAAATGATAATGCATGGAAAAGAACAGAGGACGACAYTATATGGCAATCCCGCCATTTCTGTCATCAGTCAAGGGTTTACAGGGACCGTTCTGCATAGCTTCATTGCCATTTCCCACATCTGACAGGGGAGTGGTATTCTACCATAGAATAAAACATGATAAATAAGAAAATGGGAGAAAATAGAATTTACCCAGATCGGATTTAGCCCGGTTCAAACGATGCAATGAAGGACCAATTCCTTTATGTCGGACAGATTTGGCTTTCAGACGACGATACTGACTGAAGGTTGTATTAGAAAGATTGATGAGGAGATGGGACGATTCCAGCACAGTCTTGCTTGAACTCGAGTGGGGAGCTTCAGTCTTCTTGCTGTAGTCAACTCTGCTCGATCGGTGAAGGAAACGCAAGATAGGGGAGATCGGCGGATGGTTGGGGAACCACGACGCCAATGAAGATCGACAAAAACTTCAGCATAAGATGAGATATAAAATAAACGGTGATAAATCACCGGAAATCCAATCAGAAATGGGGGAATCTTGCCGCTGTGATGCCTACTTCGTGACTAGAGAACAGGGTAGAGACGAACGCCGGTAGGAAGACTAGAAGGGGAAGAACAAAGGAGAAGAAGAAGAAGAAGGGAGAGAAAGAGAGAGAAAGAATGAATGAAACTTACTTCCACAAGATAAAAAAAAAGTTAGCTTAAGAACCTGAAAATTAAACTTCTATTTTAATTGACAATCACAATACAAACATGATTTACTAACTGGGAGCATTCTTTTTTGGGATTTTGGGATTTTGAGAGGGTCAATGGGATTTCGGTTCAAATCGACCAAGAATCCCATGTTCTTTTTTTAGATTAACTATCTTACTTGGGGTAAAGTTTCCAACACTTGAATGGAACAAAAATGCCCCTTTTAAGAATGAATTTTTATGGTTAAAATGATCACCTCCTTTTTTTACTTGGAAAATAAAAGAATATGGGTAAATACACATACCTGGGTAAGTGTTTCCCAAGAAAAACTTACCCGGGTAATTGCATTTACTTGAGTAAATAACTTACCAAAAATTAACCATGCCTTAAAAGTAAATGCTTAGCAATCTTCAAAAACATGTACAAAAGCACCCTAAAGACAACATTTTTTGGATACTTGAGTAGTTTTTTTATCGCTATCGCCAATAAATATAATCACTCGGGATCTGCTACCCACAAGCTGTTCCTACATCCCTAACCACAGAGCACCACCAATGTGTATTAGAAAGATCTAGATATTGTCAATGTGCATGCAGCTATAATGTGTCATAGGCATGTATAGATGTGAGTACAGCTCTTGGATAGTAGATCGGGCACGTAGTAAATACCCATTTCTATCATTCAGTGCAACATTTTTCCATGAAAGTAATTCTCCATGGCATGCATGCCCACATTCTGAACAATTAGATGGATGCAATGTGCCCTGGTATGGTTTTCTCTTACAAATTCATTCAACAATGTCAAGAAGGTTCACTTGCCCTTGGATTCTGGATCTCCACCTCTCAAAGCTCTCAAATAATAGAGTCAATTGTCTTGCACTATATCTCACAGTTAGATCCAATCGAGGACCTTCCCAGTTCCCAACATCAAAGCCCATCCATCCTCGTTGGCATCAAAACTTGATACGATCATCAACTCCTTCATGGTTGTATCCTCAAGCTCAAGGTATGTGTTATGTGCCATCTTGGAGTGGGATAGGTTTTCAACGATCACAGTTTTGCTCTGGGTCGCTTTGTTTCAATGTAAATGTGGTATCCATTTCAACTTTAGTCTCTTTTCTAACTAGCTAACGCCATACCCTCGACAAATTTTCTTATGGTCTTATCCAATCACGATCATGACCTCCATAGAAATAGACTACAACCATTTTAGCTCAAAAAAGTCACTATTAAAAAAACATTCGGTATAATTCATAAAATGGTAAAAGTTAAGAAAATTATATGTATTAGCTAAAAATAAAAATTTGATGAAAAAAAGGAAGAAAAATTATAAAAATTATAAGAAATAATTTTGACCATTCCTTTTGACCACTCCCTTCAACTATCTGAGTTTCTGAAATATGAGCCTCCAACGACCCTCATTCCTTTTGACCATTTTGTGTTCTACTTCAATTTGTATAGATTTGTTGCTGGTTGAACTACCTCTATAGATTAGAAGGAGAGAGAGAGAGAGAGATTCAACATGCCAATGATCTGAACCCCCGAATTGAGCTACCTATGTAGATGAGAGAGAGAGAGAGAGAGAGGAAGAGAGTTGATGCAAAGGAAGAGAGTTATTCAACTTTCAAACCCTAAACATCATTGATTCTCTGTACTGACCCTATGGATACCCATGACCACCCTAAACCAACCCTTTTCTCTTGACCCAAAAGGATTGCTCAACCCATATTGACCCACATGATATATGGGTGTGTATGGGTGGTTTTCAAGTGAGTTGCGTGGGTCAAGTGGGTTGGGTAAAAAATCGCCACCCCTACATATGAGCAGCTACTTGAGCAACACTTTGTTCTAGAGATTTTATGGGCGGATCCATGATTGGTAGCCAAACTAATTCGCGGCTTTCTTTTCCCTTAATTTTGTGATCAACCTTTGCTAGAGCTGAAAACTCTTCGACATGGACATGAAGAAGGCAATGAACTTGCCCTTGAGTCCGTCCAAACTGACTTGTACCACCATAGTAACTTAGCATGATAACCACAATACCTATATCTATATCTATAAAAGTACTTGATGAGGGCGGATTTGGCCCTCTAGTGAAAATGTGACACCTGGCACCTCATGCAAAACCAAGTGCAGCCTCTTGACAACTGGGCAGCCCGGCATAGCTCGCCACAGGCAGCTCAACAGAGCTTGCCATAGCTCTCCACAGGCAGCTCGGCAGACCTTGCCACAGCTTGCCACAGGCAGCTCGGCATAGCTCACCACAAGCAGTTCGGCAGAACTCGCCACAAGCAGCTCGACATAGCTCGGGTAGCTCGGTACAAAAGAGCAGTTCGGCATATTGCAGGAAGATCTCCTGCCTGACAACCGTACCTGACAGATCTGGAGACCTACGCCCATGTCTCTCGCTAGGCGGCGCCGTGCCTGCCAGCCCTGAGAGCTATCCCTTGCCAGGCAGAGCCGTACCCTGCAATAGCTGCCTGCACCCGCCACCTCAGCTCTGGCAGTAACAGCTGCGGCAGAGAGACAAAGGCTGTTATGCCTGACTTGACAGAGGCGGTTACGCCTGATTTGAATGGACACCGCTATATAAGGACTCCGACCCCCAAAGACAAAGTGGGAAGAGAATGGAAAAATGGAGAGAATCTCCACTAGGTAAATACCCCTGGGTCCTCTGATTCAGTTCTGGCAGGTTCCTTAGTTCCCGCCGCCTACAAAGAGGAGGAAAAGGCGGAGTTCTCACAGGTCTCTCAACTCCCACCACCTACAAAGGAGAGGAAATCGCCTCATGCAGAGAGCAGTCGGGTTGCGCCTCACCAAGTATCTCACCACCAGGGAGCTCGTCACCAAGTAGCTCACCACCAGGTAGTTCGCCACCAGAGAGCTCCACCATCCTCTCCTGGGAGCAGGTCAAATGACGAGGTACTTAGCCAAAAAAAATTGATACATCACAAAAAATTGGTACGTGACTAGAACCGGTTACATCAATTGGCGCCGTCTGTGGGAACACGCTACGAAAAGCTAAGTTCTCATCCTACAAAAGCTAAGTTCTCATCTTACAATGATTTCAAGGTCAGGCGCATCCTCGTTGACTCAGGTAGCTCGGTGGATATCCTCTTCAAAGCCGCGTTCGACCAGCTTCAGCTATAGGGAAGTGACTTAAAGCCCGCTAATACTCCCTTGGTGGGCTTCAGTGAGAAGAAGTCAGGCCCCTCAGGATAATAACAGTACCTGTGGAAGTCAGCACATGGGCCAGCGTAGTAAGACTCAACCATGACTTCGTAATGGTCGCGACCCCCTCCCCGTACAATGCCATAATAGGCTGGCCGATCACCCATGTCCTACGGGCGGTGGTCTCCACTTATCATTTGGCGATGAAATTCCCTACAAACTTCGGAGTGGGGGTAGCGCAGGGCGACCAGCTTGAGTCTCACAAGTGCTATGTCGCCGCCCTCAAGGGAAAGACCAAGGTAGCCGACAACCTCGAACTGGAGCGACCTACGGAGCAAGGCGAGGAATGAGCTGCACCCGTGGAAGAAACGGTTGCTATTCCGATTTCAGCAGAAGACCCAGCTCGGACACTCCAGATCGGTGTTTCAGTCCAGGAACCCCTGCGATCTGAACTAGTAAGTTTCCTACTTCAAAACTTAGATGTTTTTGCAAGGTCCGCGGTAGAAATGGCCGGTATAGACCCTAATCTCATAATTCACAAGCTCAATACTGATCCTGTAGTTAGGCTCGTTAGACAAAAGAAACGCAGCCTAGCCCCGGAGTGATGGAAAGAAGTCGACAAGGACGTCGTGAAGCTCCTCGCCGCCGACTTCATAAGAGAAGTCCATTACCCGAGCTGGGTAGCCACCCCGTTCTGGTAAAGAAGGCTAACGACAAGTGACGCATGTGCGTCGACTACACAGACCTGAACCGAGCTTGCCCAAAAGACTGCTTTCCCCTCCCCAGAATCGACCGCCTAGTGAATGCGACCTCGGGGCACGAGTTGCTGAGTTTCTTATACGCCTATTCGGGCTACAACCAGATCAGAATGGACCCGGTGGACGAAGAAAAGACTGCCTTCATCATAGAGTTTGGTCTATATTGTTACAAGTTATGCCCTTCGGGTTGAAAAATGTTGGGAAAACCTTTCAAAGGCTTGTAAATAAACTATTTGAGCCATTAATTGGCAGAAAAATAGAGTGTTATGTGGATGAAATGGTCGTCAAAACCCAATTCTCACACGAATTAATACAAGACTTGCATTCTGTCTTTCCAATTCTACGACAATTTAACATGAAGTTGAATCCAAACAAGTGTGTCTTCGGTGTCACCTCGGGAAAATTCCTAGGATACATCGTCAACCGGCGCGGCATTGAGGCCAATCCAGATAAGATTAAGGACATCTTAGATATGAGACCACCCCGGAAGTTGAAGGAGGTTCAGAGGTTGAATGACCGCATAGCCTCCCTGAGTCGCTTTATGTCCAAGTCAGCGGACCGCTGTCAACCTTTCTTTAAGGCAATTAAAAGCAAAGGGTTCGAGTGGACCCAAGACTGCTAGCTCGCGTTTGACAAGCTCAAGAAATACCTCGCTAGTGTACCACTCTTAACCCGGCCCGAAGAGGGCAATGTTTTAGAGCTGTAACTCTTGGCAAGTGACGAAGTGGTCAGCTCGGTACTGATAAAGGAAGTAGATCGGGTCCAACGACCCATCTACTATGTTAGTAAAGTATTGCAGGGAGCAGAGACGATATATCCAGAGATAGAGAAGCTAGCCTACGCACTGGTCATCGCAACTCGAAAGCTTCGTCCGTACTTCCAGTCACATACTGTTATCATCCTCACCGACAAACCTCTGAGGCAAGTCTTACTTAAGCCCAAGGTCTCAGGTCGACTGACGAAGTGGGCCATTGAGCTCAGCGAGTACGACCTCCAATACAAGCCGCGAACTGCTATTAAGGCCCAAGCCTTAGCATATTTCATTGCGGAGTGCACTTTCAGTTCCAAAGTCCCCAGGCCAGTTGAGCACGAGACCCCCACTTCGGGCAAGCCCGGAGCTCCCAGGCTAGTTGAGTCCGAGCCC